CTTACCATACCCATATTGTTCCTAATTTTCCCTTATCTATATAAACTCAATAAAATATTGTTTAAAAAAAGAGGGATATAGCAATGATATCCCACAGGGCTTTGGAATTCCTGAATAAGGAAACTTCCTTCAGGACAAATTATGTCTTGATGTTTTATTTGAGTTCTCAGCATTCTCACATTACTCTTTACATTAATGTAAAACCAGCTCAGCAAAGCTTTGAGTTCCAAATCACTTGTTATCAATGACTTGTTCAGAGACTGTTTTCATATGTTACATTTTAACTCCATGCCCCATAGGTTACAAATTCCATATATTACTCCAGAGGTTACTCCTCGGTCTCTGAAGCCCGGAGACTACACTCCCTTCTACTGACATGACTTTGACAAAATATATCAGAAACTCAATCTAGACACTTCTATGTTGGGATCCGTTTCTATAAAGCAATGGTTTAACAACTGAGGTTGTTGATGTTCTAATCAATAATAACAAGGCAATTTTGCTACTCACTGGAAATCCAAGTCATCCTTCTCCAAGGCTTTGAAGCGATAAAGTGCAATAAAGTAGTGAGACTGTGGGAATCCAGTTTGCTGCTTCTTACTCTGTTCAAAAGAAGAAAAAAAGTAAAGTCCCTTCAAGTCCAACATGACTCTTAGTGACTCATCCATGCAATTTTCTTGACAATGTTATGGAAGTGGCAACTATAGCCTCCTTCCGGAATGGATCTTGGATTTCCAAGCTAATTTGTAGCCTTGGGCTTCCCCAAAAACTTACATATAGGTAATAACCTGTCCTGGGGTAATCCTGCCATGCTAGGGTCAACGATAGAAGAGAATATGTGTAGCTCAGGGTTGAACTGTGGGCTCCTTGATGCTCTCTGAGCTTCATGGTTTTCTTGCAGTCGTTTCATTACCAAACTAGGTAATACTAGTTATCTAATCTGGATAAAGTATTGGCAATATTACCTAATTTATTTTGCTCTCAGGTACTCATGTTTCTTGTTCTTTAATGCTGGGCAAAACACAAGCCCTTTCTATAGATATCCTCTATAAAATTAGTCTCAGGATGGGCAAGGAATCAAAGCAGATTTGTTCACAGGTGTACAAATAAACATCTTTATATGACCCAGAGTATCCAAAGTGGATTTTAATCCACCTCTTGGAAAGCAGGATACCAGGCAAGATCTTAGGACTGAGCCATTCAAAATGTTGTAGCTATCCAACCTTACACCTCAACAGACAACAGAGTCCATAGGCCTTTCTGTGGACCTACGCAAGGTTTTCTAATCCTTGTTATCTGGCACAAGTAGTAATAAAGCCACCCCCTTCCATTATACATTATACATGAAGGTAATCAGAGAGTAGACTTTCTGAAACCTATTCTGTTCGTATGCTCAACATGTATTGTATGTCAACTTCTTTAAGTGTAGATGGATGACTAGTGGAATCTGATTGGTGGGAATTTGAAGCCTTAGGAAAGCAAGCAAGCATCCAGGGAGTTTGTGCTTACTTGCTCAATCTCAAGAGACTGAGTTCCGACCTTGAGATTCTGACCTTGAGGGAATACATATACATGAGTTGAGTGGCTTGTCTATGTACCGTTTTCCTATTTTTTCCCCCTCCATGCAATCTTTTCTACTAACGTGAATTGTGTAGGAAAAAAGAAAAGGCAGGAAAAAAACCCCAGCATGCAATCAATTCAATAATCAGAGCAGCAGGTGAAGAAAAGTGACTTGCAACAGCATCACAAACTTGTAGGACAGGGGTCTTCAAACTTGGCCCTTTTATGACTTGTGGACTTCAACTCCCAGAATTCCTCAGCCAGCGTGCCTGGCTGAGGAATTCTGGGAATTGAAGTCCATAAGTCATAAAAGGGCCAGTTCTGAAGACCCCTGTTGTAGGATTTGGAGACATGAAAGCAGATATTCATTGTGTTCAATCTGGAAACGGGCAAGCACGTTCTCTCCCTCTTCCCCTCTCCCATGCAAAGAGTAAGAGGCAAGCACCTTGTCATCCGGGGTATTCTTCTCTGCTTTCTGTCCCTCTGGATTTCCTGGAATCAAAACAAACAAGCAAGCAAACGAAATCTGCATTCAGATGGGATGAAATATGGAGGAAAGCAGAATTCAGACAGGTTCCCTTCTCCCAGGGCATTGAAAATAAAATCCCACCATTTTCCTAGGTTTTTTTTTTCTAGGCCTAAAAAGGAAGTTATTCATAAATTAACACCCACCCCTCCGTCTCTGCTTTTCCTGTATTAGTCTGCCTTGCTTTCCCTGCTTATAGCAGTCACAACTTTAGCTGTTCTTTTGTGTGGGTGTGAGAGCTTGATTCATTACATTCATTTCAGTGTTATATTTGCATTTTCTAGTTAAAGGATAAAGCTTGGCCAACAGGCAGCACCTAGGGCAGACATGTCAAACACAAGGCCCAGGGGCCGGATGAGGCTCATGAAGTGGTTTCATGTGGCCCGCGAAGCCATCCTGGAAACAGTGAGGGAATGGCCCCCACTGCCTTCGCCTTGGCCTAGGCCGGCCGGCCAGCCGGCTGACTAGGAGCCAATGTATAATTTTGTGGTGGCCATCTATGCTGAAACACATTCAGTCTCCCTCTGACTTTGCCCTGGTACCCATATGAACAACCTGGCTAAGGAGACCAAGCACAGCAGCAGCAGCCTTGAGGAAGAGGTAAGTGCAGCTGGGCGCCCCCTTGGGGAAGTGGGGCTGGGCTTGGTGCCACAGGTGCTCGAGGGCCAGGCTGGGCATTTGACCTCTGCTGCCCAGGGCTCCGGGCAGCCCGCATCACCATCCAGCCCCCCCCCCCATATGGCCTGAGAGGAACAGTGAGGCTCCTCCAGTGGACCATGCCTTGGCATTTGCCCTGGTCCCACCCCCTTCTGCCAGAGACACTCAGATCTGTCCCACTCCTGCCCAGGCCCCCACAGACACCATTGATGCGAACAATGTAGAGCTGGCCATGCCCACCCAGTAGGCCACACCCACTCCCTCCATGTCCACCCAGTAGGCCACACCCACCCAGCCCCCTAAGGGCAACTGCAATGCTGATGCGGCCCTCAATGAAATTGAGTTTGACACCCCTGACCTAGATGAACTTCACTCAAAAAGGTAAGCAGACTCACACCTGGCTACAGTTGAGCAACATCTGGAGAGCTGTCAGTTGCCTCCCCTAAGATGGCACAAGGCAAAAGGTTTGAATTTGTGAGCACCAGGGTTTCCTTTCTTTTCAGCCATCTTCTTGCTTCTTTTGTACGTTGTTTGCTTGAACCACATTTGCTTTACAAATATTTGGACTCTGGATCCCAGAGACAATAGATTTTCTGAAATCTATTAACACTTACCTCCCTCTGGTTTGTCACTTTCTGGTTTGGGGGCTTCTGTTTCTTCTTCCATCATGGCAGCCAAAGGCTAAAATGTAGGAAGGAAAATATATCAGGAAATATTTATTTGACGGTATTTACATGCCACCTCAATCAATAAACTTAGGACAGTGCACAAATAAAATACAATACTGACCAACTCCTATCCTTTACCTACACTAAACTTCAAACTTGAGAATAGATGATTGCCTAGGGCAGGGGTAGGCAACCTTGGCTCTTTTATGACTCGTGGACTTCAACTCCCAGAATTCCTGAGCCAGCCAATTCAGTATTATAGGTTAATTCTGCATTCCACTGCCAGGAGTTTGACTCAGCCTTACATCCTTCCGAGGCCAATAAAATGAGAACCTAGACCAGGGATAGGCATCCTTGGCACTTTTATGACTCGTGGCTGGCTCAGGAATTCTGGGAGCTGAAGTCCACGAGTCATAAAAGAGCCAAGGTTGCCTACCCCTTGCCTAGGGGCACAGGCATATTAGAAATGAATGGTTTTGAACATATTCTGAAGTCACAGAAAGGTAGAACCCAAGGTTATCTATAGAAGCAATTTATTCCATAGTGCAGAGGTACTATGGAAAAGGTCTACCATAGAATGCACATCCTTTGTTTCTGAATACAATGATACAAGTTCAATGGTGCAGTAGAATGCAGAGTTCCCAGCATCAAGAGATTCTGGATGGCGGGACTTCCGGTGGGACAGCGCGCCGATGGCGGCTCTTTTCGGAGCCGTCCGCTTGGGAAGGCGTCAGAGCCAGCATGAACAGCGGTCAGCAGCTGTTCAGCGGCTTGGAACCTTGTGCCCCGGGAGAAGGGGTCGAGGTGAGTACTCCTGGATAGGAGTAGAGTCCCAAAAGCTCTCCCTTCATCTCGGGAGAGCGAAATTGGGTACTCCTCCGGANCTTACCATACCCATATTGTTCCTAATTTTCCCTTATCTATATAAACTCAATAAAATATTGTTTAAAAAAAGAGGGATATAGCAATGATATCCCACAGGGCTTTGGAATTCCTGAATAAGGAAACTTCCTTCAGGACAAATTATGTCTTGATGTTTTATTTGAGTTCTCAGCATTCTCACATTACTCTTTACATTAATGTGAAGCCAGCTCAGCAAAGCTTTGAGTTCCAAATCACTTGTTATCAATGACTTGTTCAGAGACTGTTTTCATATGTTACATTTTAACTCCATGCCCCATAGGTTACAAATTCCATATATTACTCCAGAGGTTACTCCTCGGTCTCTGAAGCCCGGAGACTACACTCCCTTCTACTGACATGACTTTGACAAAATATATCAGAAACTCAATCTAGACACTTCTATGTTGGGATCCGTTTCTATAAAGCAATGGTTTAACAACTGAGGTTGGTGATGTTCTAATCAATAATAACAAGGCAATTTTGCTACTCACTGGAAATCCAAGTCATCCTTCTCCAAGGCTTTGAAGCGATAAAGTGCAATAAAGTAGTGAGACTGTGGGAATCCAGTTTGCTGCTTCTTACTCTGTTCAAAAGAAGAAAAAAAGTAAAGTCCCTTCAAGTCCAACATGACTCTTAGTGACTCATCCATGCAATTTTCTTGACAATGTTATGGAAGTGGCAGCTATAGCCTCCTTCGGGAATGGATCTTGGATTTCCAAGCTACTTTGTAGCCCTGGGCTTCCCAAAAAACTTACATATAGGTAACAACCTGTCCTGGGGTAATCCTGCCATGCTAGGGTCAACGATAGAAGAGAATATGTGTAGCTCAGGGTTGAACTGTGGGCTCCTTGATGCTCTCTGAGCTTCATGGTTTTCTTGCAGTCGTTTCATTACCAAACTAGGTAATACTAGTTATCTAATCTGGATAAAGTATTGACAATATTACCTAATTTATTTTGCTCTCAGGTACTCATGTTTCTTGTTCTTTAATGCTGGGCAAAACACAAGCCCTTTCTATAGATATCCTCTATAAAATTAGTCTCAGGATGGGCAAGGAATCAAAGCAGATTTGTTCACAGGTGTACAAATAAACATCTTTATATGACCCAGAGTATCCAAAGTGGATTTTAATCCACCTCTTGGAAAGCAGGATACCAGACAAGATCTTAGGACTGAGCCGTTCAAAATGTTGTAGCTATCCAACCTTACACCTCAACAGACAACAGAGTCCATAGGCCTTTCTGTGGACCTACGCAAGGTTTTCTAATCCTTGTTATCTGGCACAAGTAGTAATAAAACCACCCCCTTCCATTATACATTATACATGAAGGTAATCAGAGAGTAGACTTTCTGAAACCTATTCTGTTCGTATGCTCAACATGTATTGTATGTCAACTTCTTTAAGTGTAGATGGATGACTAGTGGAATCTGATTGGTGGGAATTTGAAGTCTTAAGAAAGAAAGCAAGCATCCAGGGAGTTTGTGCTTACTTGCTCAATCTCAAGAGACTGAGTTCCGACCTTGAGATTCTGACCTTGAGGGAATACATATACATGAGTTGAGTGGCTTGTCTATGTACCGTTTTCCTATTTTTTTCCCCCTCCATGCAATCTTTTCTACTAACGTGAATTGTGTAGGAAAAAAAGAAAAGGCAGGGAAAAAACCCCAGCATGCAATCAATTCAATAATCAGAGCAGCAGGTGAAGAAAAGTGACTTGCAACAGCATCACAAACTTGTAGGACAGGGGTCTTCAAACTTGGCCCTTTTATGACTTGTGGACTTCAACTCCCAGAATTCCTCAGCCAGCGTGCCTGGCTGAGGAATTCTGGGAGTTGAAGTCCACAAGTCATAAAAGGGCCAAGTTTGAAGACCCCTGTTGTAGGATTTGGAGACAAGAAAGCAGGTGGTCATTGTGTTCAATCTGGAAACGGGCAAGCACGTTCTCTCCCTCTTCCCCTCTCCCATGCAAAGAGTAAGAGGCAAGCACCTTGTCATCCGGGGTATTCTTCTCTGCTTTCTGTCCCTCTGGATTTCCTGGAATCAAAACAAACAAGCAAGCAAACGAAATCTGCATTCAGATGGGATGAAATATGGAGGAAAGCAGAATTCAGACAGGTTCCCTTCTCCCAGGGCATTGAAAATAAAATCCCACCATTTTCCTAGGTTTTTTTTTTTCTAGGCCTAAAAAGGAAGTTATTCATAAATTAACACCCACCCCTCCGTCTCTGCTTTTCCTGTATTAGTCTGCCTTGCTTTCCCTGCTTATAGCAGTCACAACTTTAGCTGTTCTTTTGTGTGGGTGTGAGAGCTTGATTCATTACATTCATTTCAGTGTTATATTTGCATTTTCTAGTTAAAGGATAAAGCTTGGCCAACAGGCAGCACCTAGGGCAGACATGTCAAACACAAGGCCCAGGGGCCGGATGAGGCTCATGAAGTGGTTTCATGTGGCCCGCGAAGCCATCCTGGAAACATTGAGGGAATGGCCCCCACTGCCTTCGCCCTGGCCTAGGCCGGCCGGCCGGCCAGCCGACTGGGAGCCAATGTATAATTTTGTGGTGGCCATCTATGCTGAAACACATTCAGTCTCCCTCTGACTTTGCCTTGGTACCCATATGAACAACCTGGCTAAGGAGAGCAAGCACAGCAGCAGCAGCCTTGAGGAAGAGGTAAGTGCAGCTGGGCGCCCCCTTGGGGAAGTGGGGCTGGGCTTGGTGCCACAGGTGCTCGAGGGCCAGGCTGGGCATTTGACCTCTGCTGCCCAGGGCTCCGGGCAGCCCGCATCACCATCCAGCCCCCCCCCCCATATGGCCTGAGAGGAACAGTGAGGTTCCTCCAGTGGACCATGCCTTGGCATTTGCCCTGGTCCCACCCCCTTCTGCCAGAGACACTCAGATCTGTCCCACTCCTGCCCAGGCCCCCATAGACACCATTGATGCGAACAATGTAGAGCTGGCCATGCCCACCCAGTAGGCCACACCCACTCCCTCCATGTCCACCCAGTAGGCCACACCCACCCTGGCCACACCCACCCAGCCCCCCAAAGGCAACTACAATGCTGATGCGGCCCTCAATGAAATTGAGTTTGACACCCCTGACCTAGATGAACTTCACTCAAAAAGGTAAGCAGACTCACACCTGGCTACAGTTGAGCAACATCTGGAGAGCTGTCAGTTGCCTCCTCTGAGATGGCACAAGGCAAAAGGTTTGAATTTGTGAGCACCAGGGTTTCCTTTCTTTTCAGCCATCTTCTTGCTTCTTTTGTACGTTGTTTGCTTGAACCACACTTGCTTTACAAATATTTGGACTCTGGATCCCAGAGACAATAGATTTTCTGAAGTCTGTTAACACTTACCTCCCTCTGGTTTGTCACTTTCTGGTTTGGGGGCTTCTGTTTCTTCTTCCATCATGGCAGCCAAAGGCTAAAATGTAGGAAGGAAAATATATCAGGAAATATTTATTTGACGGTATTTACATGCCACCTCAATCAATAAACTTAGGACAGTGCACAAATAAAATACAATACTGACCAACTCCTATCCTTTACCTACACTAAACTTCAAACTTGAGACTAGATGATTGCCTAGGGCAGGGGTAGGCAACCTTGGCTCTTTTATGACTCGTGGGCTTCAACTCCCAGAATTCCTGAGCCAGCCAATTCAGTATTATAGGTTAATTCTGCATTCCACTGCCAGGAGTTTGACTCAGCCTTACATCCTTCCGAGGCCAATAAAATGAGAACCTAGACCAGGGATAGGCATCCTTGGCACTTTTATGACTTGTGGCTGGCTCAGGAATTCTGGGAGCTGAAGTCCACGAGTCATAAAAGAGCCAAGGTTGCCTACCCCTTGCCTAGGGGCACAGGCATATTAGAAATGAATGGTTTTGAACATATTCTGAAGTCACAGAAAGGTAGAACCCAAGGTTATCTATAGAAGCAATTTATTCCATAGTGCAGAGGTACTATGGAAAAGGTCTACCATAGAATGCACATCCTTTGTTTCTGAATACAATGATACAAGTTCAATGGTGCAGTAGAATGCAGAGTTCCCAGCATCAAGAGATTCTGGATGGCAGATTAGTGCCTTGTAACATGAACTTAAAGAGAGGAGGAGAGGAATCGTTGAATATTTTAAGTACTTTAAATGAAGGTGATGAAAATATAGCCTTCCAGATTTCACTGGGGTAAGACTCATGTCACTTGCCCAGCCAATATGAGTAATGGAGAGTTGTAGTCTAGAACTATCTGGAATGCTACATGTTGCCAATGTTAGCTTTAGAATTACTTCCATCTTCATCCATTATTCCAGCTCGGATAGCCCCTTATGCACCACCCTTTTGCACCACCTTATGCACCACCCCTTATGCACCACCTTATGCACCACCCCTTATGCACCACCCTTTTATGTTGTGATGTTTCATCACACTGGCTTCCTACATTTTTTTTGTTATCCTGCCCTTTCTTGCGCTCCTTGTTTGCCATGATGACACCTGACCGTAGGGTATCGAAGACAGGATCATTTCGGTTAGCTGTGAAATAAACCCAAAAAAGTTATAAAGGTTACAAAGATGTTTCTGAGGATGGGTGACCAAGAGCTAAAGTCCTACTGGATGGCTGACTTACCACCTGAGAGTTGTTGGGCACTGTACAACGGAGAGCTGTAAGCACGGCGGAAACCTGGAGGCTGAAGAGTAAAGATTATACACAGTCAAGAACATTGGAAAAAGGGGACCTATTTTTCTCCCAAATGATGGAGCTTGGTGACAGAGTCAGCTATTATCCTTGAAAAGAATCTCTAGCCTTAGTCTAATGCTTGTTTTATAAATAACACTATGTGGCAAACATTTTCATAAGATGCAAAAAGAATTCTTCTGCTGATTTATCAAAAATGCCAATGCTTCCAAAGCTTTGGCAGTAGCCTCTAAAGCCTTTCCTAAACTTGACACTTTATTATAGTTTTCAGGGCGATGGAAATGGGAAGTCATTAAATGCATGGAATATTAATTCATTGCGTGTATTCAGTAGAGTTTAATTTTATTTTTTCCCCTTTTCTAGGACAAAAATTATTGATGCCTACTTCTAGTCAACTTAAGTAGAGCAGCCCTGGGTATTTTATTCTTTTAGACTTAAGTGTTGCGCTTGAAAAAGATTTCTGCAATATGGAGACTACAGTATTGCGAAATCCCAAATTAGAAAGAGAAGAGCCCTGGTTGCAGCTGGTTTTTTTGTTTTGTTTTGTTTTTTTGCATCTCAATATTCAGGAATTATTGATTGGACCTGCTAAAGAGAAACTAATTGACTGGCTTCACCCATATGATCTGTGCTGTTGTTCTAAACTAAGAGTGTCTCAGTTATGTTTGTTCTCATTTATGTCATCTGATTCACTGTGATCCCTGACTGGCTAAGGTCACAGGAAAAAAATGGCACCTCAAATGACTGCCTATAATACTGGAAAAAAGGGGGGGGGGAGCTATTTTCCAATGGACCATTTGGCCTCCTCCAAATACGTGAAAAATGTTCATAGCTGAACGTTTAGTATAAAACTATTTATAAAGAATATGTTACTAGCGGCTTCAGCTTTTAATAATATACAAAAATACTGTGTAATTTGTTAGCTTACCCACTGCTCTCCTCCAATTCGGCAGTTAGGGAATTGTGGCTTCAATCTATCAAAGGCAATGCACTGAATCTACACTAAGAATTAGAATCCGTTTTTCAAAAAGTATGAAGTCCATTGTAGGACCAATAAGTGTACTTTTTCTCCCACAAGAATAATTTCCAGTTGAAAAATAATGTAATCCTTATATACACTGTAATGACTGCACATTTTTACTTTTTATTCTGGCACATAGAGAAGCAATGACATACATCTATTTGAGACAGCCACTTCCAGAGATCAATATTCAGATTGTGCATTATTTTATCCATGTAGAACAAGTGTAGCAAACTAGCTCTTAAATCAAGGTGCTCTACTTAACATTCTTGCAGCACCATAGACCCCAGGGTTGATTTGGATCAGGTACCAACAACAACACCGGATATAAATGCAAGAAAAAATGATGCAAGATAAAAATGGCAGCTCTTTCATGTAATCCAGGGGTAGTCAACCTTGGCTCTTTTATGACTCGTGGACTTCAATTCCCAGAATTCCTGAGCCAGCTTAGCTGGCTCAGGAATTCTGGGAGTTGAAGTCCACGAGTCATAAAAGAGCCAAGGTTGACTACCCCTGATGTAATCATTGAGAGACTTCAAGGCAAGCAGAGCTGATGAGTAAAGTTACAACGTACAAATTCATCCATTAATGCCACCACATACAAAACTGTTGTGGAGGAAAGAAGCTATGTTCTTGGCTCTTACCCAGGTTTGTTGTTTCTCACTTACTAGCAGCAGAGAGGCAGTTTGATATAGTGGTTAAGGTATCAGGTAAGGGACCATGAGTTCTAGTCCTGCCTTAGGCATGAAGCCAGTTGGGTGACATTGGGCCAATCCTTCTCTCTCGGCCTTAGGAAAGAAGCAAGAGCTAACCATTTCTGAAACTTTGCCAATAAAACTGCAGGAACTTTCCTAGGCAGTTGCCAGGAATCAAAACAGAAACACACACATACACACACACACACACACACACAAACCATAGCAGCGAGGAAACAGCAATCTGCTCCCCATGGTCAAGTTTTGGGAATGATTTCCTGGCATATTTACCGGGCACAGCCACTGAGATCAACTCTTCAGAAACTCAGTCATGTCCAGTAATAATCAGAGACTTCACAAATAGAGCATGGCTGAATAAAAGGCCTTATTGCAGGTAGAGCTGCAGTACACAGGAATCAAACCCCATGTCTAAGTGCATATCTAAATTCCAGGGTTAAATTTTAGGAGTTTCCTTCTCACTTTGTCTAGTCCACAGATTGTTGGCCATTCTTTTCCCAACCTTGAGCACCAGAGACACAAGTTCCATGCTCATGTAACAATTCTATCTGGCTTGAGATCTGTTGGTTTCTGTCATTCCGTTTTCCTAAATACAAACTTCGTGGGAAGGAACTAGCTCCGACTCAACCCAGACAGGAAAGACTGGCTATGGGATTTTGGCCCCCTAGAGCCCCCCCCCAGAGTACCATCTTTAACTCTGGACGGGGTGGCACTTTTCCAAACTGATTTGGTGTGAAATCCGGGGGCCTCCTGGATTCATAGCTTCTGCTTGAAGAGCAGGTGGCAGCAGTGGCTAGAGGGGCTTTTGCACAGAGTCATCCAGTGTACCAATTACACCCTTTCCTGGATCAGGAGGCCTTGCTCATGGTTACTCATGCTTTGGTCAGCTCCCAGAAACTTCCGCTGGTGCAGAACGTGGCAATGCACAGGGTGATGGGTGCGCCTAGGTCAGGGCTAGGTAACCTTGGCTATTTTATGACTCGTGGACTTCAACTCCCAGAATTCCTGAGCCAGCATGGCTCAGCTTGGAAACCTCTCCCTTTCCCCTCAGCATGGCTGGCTCAGGAATTCTGGGAGTTGAAGTCCACGAGTCATAAAAGAGCCAAGGTTGTCTACCCCTGCACTAGGTTTTTCCATGAAACACCTCTGTTGCGTGAGCTTCCAAATACTTTCTGGATGCAAATCAAGGTGCTAGTCATCACCTTTAAAGCCCTATATGGCACAGGGCCAGATTAACTGAAAAACCGCCTTTCTCTAAGCTCATCTACTTGTCTTACCAAATCAGATAAAGAGTATGCATACTCTTAATCCCTTCCCTTAAATATTGCCATCTGATGGGAGCTTGGAAGTATGCCTTCTCCACGGCAGCCGCTGCCAATGGAACACTCTTCCCTCTGAAATTTGGCAGGCTTCTATCCTCCTAGCCTTCTGTAAAGCACTGGACTTGATTTTTCCCACAAGCATCCTGATAAGACCAGGGGACTGAATATTGGAAATTTGACCTGGCATCATTTTTGTTTTTGTTTTTAATGCACTGAGTTTTTACTGTCTTAACATGGTTTTTTATGTTGTTTTCATTTTTGATTGGGAACTGTCCAAAGTTTTTTATAAGATAGGTCATCATATCAGTGTTTTAAATAAATAAATTCTTTTAAGTTTCTTATTGGTAGCCATCCTACAGACTTCATGATATAGATTTTGTTCAATCATCAAATACTATGGATCCAAAACCAAATTAAATGGCTTTTGTTTCCTCGTTCCTTTAAAAGACACTCTTGCAATATTCTCAGTTTTGCTAATTAAAATGTATTAACCTCAGCTACATATACCTGCTCCCAACCTGGATCCAGTGATAATAACACAAAAAACCAATTTCAGCTAATTATATTCTAGCTGTGCTCACCCAGTGTAGCCTGAAAAAGACAGGTTCTTGAGCATACCGCTTTTGTTATACTTTGATTAAAAAAAAATACTGAAAAAATCCTTCTGTTTTCAAAGTAGCATGCCTTTCTGGAAAAAAAAAGATTTTCTACATGTCTAATGGAGCAAGCAAAGAACCAGATAGCAATTGGCAGAGGGCAATTACATTCTGGGCACTGAGGCCCAGAAAAGGCACTTACTATTTTGCCAAAACAGCGCTGAAATTCCACATAACTTTGGCAGTGATGATGGATGTGAGTTTTGCAGTTCTTGCATTTCAAGCCATATTTGTTGTTGACTGCAAGGAAAGAAAAGCAATCAGTGGTATTATGGGGTAAGGTGTTCACACACACACACACACACACACATGATAACACCACAGCATGTCTTCTAATTGAGCCAGACAGAAGCCATTTAAAAACATTCAAAGAAGCCATTTGTCTCCCAGATGGAGGGGAAATTACTTTCAGGAAAGACTGTGGGATGAAACAACAGCATTCCCTAAATATGCTTCCTTTTGGCATTTTAAAATGTTCTGCCAGAAACCACAAGGATAAAATCTGTGTTTGTTCAGTTCTATCAGAAATGCAGCCTGGCGAATCATTTTGGCAACAAAGGATTTCTAGGGTTTTAGCTTGAGACGTCTTCCTGCTCCCCACCATGTCTTGGCCTCCTGGATAGAAAGGAGCCATACAGGTAGTCCTCGACTTACAACCACAATTGAGCCCAAAATTTCTGTTGCTAAGTGAAACATTTGTTAAGTGAATTTGGCCCCATGTTACAACTTTTCTTGCCACAGTTGTTAAGTGGATCACTGCAGTTAAGTTAGTGACAGGATTGTTATGTGAATCTGGCTTCCCCCCACTGACTTTGCTTGTCAGAAGATCGCAAAAGGGGATCACGTGACACTAGGGCACTGCAACAGTCATAAATATGAATCAGTTGCCAAGTGTCTGAATTTCGATTATGTGATCATGGGGATACTCCAACTGTCCGAAGTGTGAAAAACTTTTGCCAGTGCTATTGTAACTTGGAACAGTCACTAAACGAACAGTTGTAAGTCAAGGATTACCTGTAGAAGGCCCACTTGGTTGACCTATGACCTGGCTTGAGCAAATAAGATCTTCCAAGTATAGTGCTATAATTCCCACTATGCTCAGGCATCATGACCAATCCCCACACAAGCTGTGGATAACAAATGTTTCATACATTTTGTTATGATTCCTCGCCAGCCGGTGGATCCGGCAGCTGAGTCTGAGGAATCGGAGGAGGAGGAGGGGCCTGGAGTGACATTAGAGTCAGAGGAAGGCTCTGAGGAGCTCCAAGACTTACAGTCAGATGAGGAGCCGGGCCTCTCTACTCGCGCTCAGGCTGAGACACAGCTGTGCTGGGAGCCTGAGTTGGACAGTGATGAAGAACAGTAAATCCAGGATGCACGAAAGCGCAGGCAAGAGAAGCGAGTAGGACAGAGGAATGCAATGGGGCAGCTCCAAAGGCAAAGGAGAAGGCATTAGGAAGCCACGCCTTGGCTGAATTATAAAAGGGAAGGTGTGGGAGGTGTTGGTTGCCAAAGGCAACCGTTTGTGTTGAGGATTGAGTTTCTGCGAACTGTGTTTGTTTGCCTTGGACATTGACTCCGGTCTGTGTGAATAAATGGGGTTGATTTTTTCTTGCGGTTTCTGCCTGTTTGTTGGAAGAGGGGTTTCTCCTTGTGAGCATAACAAGGACTCACGTAGGCTGGGACAGAACACATTTATGGATTATACTATTGTTAATACTAGAGGTCCCCAATCTTTTGGGCACCAGGGACCAGTTCTGTGGAGAGAGGTTTTTCCACGGACCGGAGAGTGCATGGTTTTGTGTGCTGTCTGCATCCCACAGATGGGGCTTTGCTTGTTTGTGCGGACCGGTTGCTGGCATGCCACAGCCCGGTACTGGTCCACGGACTGGGGGTTGGGGACCCCTGGTTTATACCAACCTGGGGAATTCTGGTATAATATATTTCCATTTGTTCCTTGACTTTGATTCCTCGGATCTCTTTCCTGGCTCCTGATTCTCAGTTTCTGGCTCATTTTTGACAGCCAACTTCTCTTCGACCCTGACAAACTCATTTCTCTTTTACACATGGAGGGGAGGACTGACATGTGATTGCCTCCATCACAAATAGTTTGTCTCTGAGATCATCAGCATTTGCTCAGAAAAAGGAAGTAGGTTTGTTATAGACGAAAAGGCAGCCTGTGTTACTTTTTAAAATGGACTAATGGAATGCATACATCCTGACGATGTTTTGAAAGATACCTATTTATTTTTTTTACAAAAAGTTAAAAAAAAAACCAGAGATATCATCAGGCATACTTTTTCCCCCCTTTGGCTTGACTTGAGATGCACCTCTACGGGCAACCAACCTGGAGGCCGAAACAGTGGGTGATTTAAAAAAGCCGCTGCTTTCAGAACTGAACCGCGGATAAGAATTCAGGGATCAAGTGGGGCAAATATATCATAATGCAAATGAACCCACTTGTGTACTTGCATCAGAAACAATGGCAGAAGTGCCTGATTGCATTGTTTGCACACGGACATCATGATGCACCTGTCTAAAAGTACATTCTGCCATTCTTTCTAGAATGTTCCTCCACCGTTCATAGTTTGCTATGAAAGAGTGCTAGGGATTTTTCCGAATTTCAACATAGCTGCAGGAGATATAATTACCTACATTAAACTATTAAACAACAACCATGCACGATGCAAGTGAGCATGCACCATTCTCTTGTTTTCAACAGTTAGCTTATCATTTTGCCACGAGACATAAATCACAATCTGTATCTTCTCCTCCCTCCATTTGAGCAACTGCTCCAAATTATATGCCTGCTGGGACTATTCGCTTTCCAATATATTCCCGCCATCCCACTTTTGCGACTTTTTTTTCAGGCACGGTTCATGCATCTTTAATAACTGCATGACCTATAGAAACTCACGGACAATCATGCGGGCACAGACATCACAAAACTTAGGTTTCTTGAAGTAGTGATCCTTGAATTTGTGAGGTTTATCGTTAACTGGTCTTTCCGGCTCAGGTGGCAACTCAGGCTCTTCCTCCTCCTCCTCCACTTCCTCATAGTAGTAGATGGGTCCCCCTGAAGAGCTGACCAGCTCCCCGTTGGCTTGTGGCTCCTCTGTGGTAGGCTCCTCCTCCACGGGCTTGCGTTGGAAAAACTGCTTTAGCTTCTGCAACTGAGGGTCCAGGTTGGGATGGGGTAGAATGGGTGGGTGGGGCGGACAATCGGCATTTAATAGATGCCAACAAAGAACCTTGGCAACCAGTGGAGTTGGCATGCACGCACACTCCCAACTTGTCTAGCCCCAAAAGGCAAGGGAATGGAAGAGGGGTTCATGGTGAAAATGGAGACAAAAACCCCAATTCCTGCTTGTGGGAGAAAAAACTTCAAAGAAAATGCAAGCAAATGTCCAGTGTGAAGATACGAGAAGCAGCAGTGTTGCAACATGCATGGAGGCGCCACCACAAAGCTCATTAATTGCATGTAGCGGCCTTCTATTTCCGTATAAAGTAATGGTTAACAAGCTGAAGGCATGTAGTGGTGTGTAGTGTAGTAGTAGTCACCACCTTCCTATCCTTCTGCAAGATCCTGGAGACATGGCTCTGCCGGTTGGCTGGGGAGCAAATGGGGCAGTTCCGCGTTGGAGTTGGCTGCTAGATTGACGGCAGACTCCACCTCTCCCCACTTGTTCTCTGCTCTCCACCCATCCATCTTTTTTGGTTATCGTATTGATGTATTTATTCTCATCGTGTCCCTTTGTCATTGTTTGCTCTATTGCTCTATTGTTTTGTTTTTGTTTTGTTTACACAGCTTTTCATTTTTCTTTCTTTTTATTATGGTAAGCCATCTAAAGTAGTCCCACGGCGAGATATGTGGCAAATAAACTTAACAGATAAGTAAATAAATAAAAATAATCCTAGATGGGGAACAGCATGCCATGTGGAGTTTTCCATGTGATGGCACTTCAAGCAGGACTGGTAACCAAATAAATATTTGTAAGTTAGATATTTTTTTTCAATCAAACAATCAATGATTGTTAACCTACAATATAGTTAATATACTGGACTTTCCAGTCTTTACCTATATCAGGGGTCTTCAAACTTGGCCCTTTCATGACTTGTGGACTTCAATTCCCAGAATTCCTCAGCCAGTGTGCCTGGCTGAGGAATTCTGGGAGTTGAAGTCCACAAGTCATAAAAGGGCCAAGTTTGAAGACCCCTGACCTATATCATCCCAGTAAGTCATGAAAACCTCACAGAATCATTTACTCATTGATTAAGCCACCTGATTCCTAAATGATTCTGAGTCACTCACAACTAGAACCTAACATACTAAAAGAAACACAGCTAATCAGAAGAGCAATACACAAAAATGCTCATATTATACTTATGTCATGTTGCATATTAAGGAAGAGTTGTTGAAAGCAGACTTTAACTAGAGATTTCCAGACTAAGAGACTCTCTTGGCAGGGGTCAGACTCTTAAATTTAATGGACTATAACATTCTAGCTTTGTAATTAATTTAAGAAAACTGTTTACTGATTACAGACATGTATTTTATTTCCACTTTTCATTATACCTTCGCACAACCAAACTAACCTTTTACTCCCAGGCCTATGGCTTAAACTGACTCACATTGATTAATCAATGAGAGGTTGTGCTTGCTAATTTATTCTATTGGCAAAGCTTTCATAATATACTTTGAGCCTAATGCTGCATGTAGATGTACACTATCTCAACAGTTGAATTGCTAGGGAAGGGCATTTGTCCCCTTTGATGAGAATAAAAAAGCTTGTTTTGCTTAACTTAATCCACAGGAAACACGCAATGCCCATTTCACTCTAGCTATTTACATCCCACTTCCAAGATGTATATATTAATAGCGGAAGTCAATTATCCACAACATTAATTGGTTAATCCATCAGATCATATGGAACAATATCAGTGTCAGTAACCCATCCTCCTGCTTTATCCATTAGACCAGCTTTTATTAGAGAGATGTCCATGACTTACATATTTTTAATTGAATACATAATACATACACCGTACAGGTAATCCTTGATTTACAACCGTTCATTTAGTGACTGTTTTAAAGTTACAACAGCACTGGAAAAAAAGTGATTTATGACCATTTTTCACACTGAAGACCATTACAGCATTCCCACGGTCACGGGATCAAAATTCAGACACTTAGCAACTGACTCATAGTTATGACCGTTGCAGTGTCCTGGGGGGGGGGTCACGTGATCCCCTTTTGCACCCTTCTGACAAACAAAGTCAATGGGGGGAAGCCAGAGTCACTTAACAACCGTGTTACTAACTTAAAAGTTGCAGCGATTTTACTTAACAACTGTGGCAAGAAATTTGTAAAAAAGAGGGCAAAATTCAGCTCGCCACTCTCTCGCTTAGTAACAGAAATTTTGGTCTCAGTTCTGGTCGTAAGTCGAGGAGTGCCTGTATAGACTGGGAAAACACTAAGAAAGGCAGACAGTCTAACTGAGGACAGAGGGTCAGCTTCTGAATAATTCTTCAAGTTCGTTACGTTCTTTACAGAGGCAGTGAGAGGGGGAGCTGGCTCACCCCACCTGAGAAAGCAAACGGCAGTAAGTCCTCATTGCAGCGCACATTTGTACTGTGTGTACCCCTACCGTGCTACCAATCTCTAAGCCAGTGGTTCTCAACCTGTGGGTTGGGACCCCAATTGGGGTCGATCAACCATTTCATGGGGGTCGCCAAGCAAGGCTGTCCGCCATTTTTTTTGTCTGCCATTTTTTTTGTCAGCCATTTTTTTCCCCCTTTTCCAGCGGGTGCCTTACCTCCCTTGGGCTGGGCCAGCTGGTGGTCGGCCTGCTCCGTCTCTGCCGCTTGCCAGCTACGCCTCGGCCGGCGCAGGGGGTGGAACCACGCATGCGCGGCGCTCCCGGGCAGGGAAAGTCCTCGACTTACGACCGGTTGGGTAGTCCTCGACCTACGACCGGTTTAATCCTCGACTTACGACCGGTTTAGTCCTCAACTTACGACCGGTTTAGTCCTTGACTTACGACCGGTTGGGGTCGTGGCATTAAAAAGGTTGAGAACCACTGCTCTAAGCTATTGGTACAGTAACTTATTTCTACAAGGGTGATGGTCATCTTGACCCTGAGCACAGCGATCTGCGTTAAGATCTGAGGCAGGAGGATGGCTTACTGGCTCAGATATTGCTTTTACACCGAGCTGGGCATTCAAAGCAGCAGAGAAGATAGGATTCCTGGGAAAGGAACAAGTTGAAAATTCCAGAGTCAGCAAGGAGAAAGCAATGGATGACATGCAGCCCATCTCCTAAGGCTAAGGGTCTGATAATATACGCTTCAGGGGGAAAGCAGCCAATCATTCGCCCGCATGCATTTATTTATTCACACTCAGGGTCTCCTGAGATCCTGAAATCGGGCAATTGAATGAAATGTGGAAATTCTTGCAGCGTTGATGCTCTTGCAGCAGGCTTCCGGCAACAGAGAACATACGATTACCCAACACACAACAACACTCTGGGCTCTGTCCAGCATTTTTCAGAACAAAAAATTAGAGTGCAGATCCCGCACAAAGCAAATAGCTTTCTGTATGCCTGAGTGGTATTTCCATCTGTGTTACTCTGCAGGTTGTCCTGACTGGAATGAAGGGACGTCATTTTCCTATGTTCTCTCTTTCAAAGTTTCCATATGGTTAAGAACTGCACCCCTTGCCAATGCTCACTTCCATTTCAGCCCTCAATTCCTCTGTCTAGGAAACGCTAGGCAAACTTATGGCAAAACAAGAAGATTCCACTTTCTTCTGCTAAGGTGAGATTTCCGGCACTGTATATGCATAGCACATTAAACCATGCTGTGTTTAACCGCCGAATAAATAGCAAAGGGCTGGATTTGCAAATCTTACTAAGTCAGAAACCCATCAAAATACATTTTGGTTTAGTGAAATGTATGAATCAGGTCACAGATTTGCCTTCAGCACTTTCCACTTCAGGTCTGACTGCTTATATCACTTCAAATTCAGGTTTCCAAAGTCCTACTAATTCGATCTTCTAACTGAGGTCTGCAGGAAAAGAGGGCCTGTACGTCAATCAATCCATCAGAATAGAGCTGGAAGGTCTTCTACTCCAACTCCCTGTTCAAGCAGGAGACCCTATACAAATGCCTTCAGTTCCACTCTCACCCCATGGTCAGTGGCAATTGCCCTATACCAGGGGTAGGCAACCTTGGCTCTTTTATGATTCGTGGACTTCAACTCCCAGAATTCCTGAGCCAGCATGGCTCAGCTTGGAAACCTCTCCCTTTCCCCTCAGCATGGCTGGCTCAGGAATTCTGGGAGTTGAAGTCCACGAGTCATAAAAGAGCCAAGGTTGCCTACCTCTGCCCTATACAGTCATAATAGCTTGCGATATTTTGAGCTTACCAACCTGTTACCAGGGAAATGACAGGTTTTACCTTAACTGAAGACCCAAGGCATGTAACAAGAATGAGTTACACTATCTACCCAGCACAGTTATTGCTCAATGAACAGAGTGACAAAAAGAGACTCTCAGTCCCTTGTACAAATCTGACTCATACAATTAATTCACTGGTTGGGCATTGGGCAAACCATTTTTAGCTTTTACCAACCCTTACCTATAAATAAAGGTATCAGAATAATGGTCTGACTTAAAGGACTTATTTTAAGCATTGTGGGGGTTGTGCATGAAGCACTTTCTCAAAATTGTTTATGAATATTATGGATACAGGTGTCAAGTATGTGGTCTAGTGGTTAAAGTATCAGGCTAGAAAATAGGAGAGTGTGAGTTCTACTCCTGCCTTAGGCGTGAAAGCTGGCTGGGTGACTTTGGGTCAGTCACTCTCTCTCAGCCCAACCCATCTCGCACGGTTGTCGATGTGGGAGAAACAGGAGGAAGAGAATATTAGGTATGTTCCCCACCTTGAGTGACTTATAAAAATAATAAAGGCAGGGAAAAAAGATCTTTAAAAAAATAGAAAGGCAAAAAGATTAGTTTGCCAAAGATACTTCCAATGGAAACCCACATTTTATAGACTTGACTCTTAATTATTTTCAATTCATAGTCCTGTTGTTGAATAAATGTTTTATTATTATCAGTTGGGGAACAGTTCTATAAAGTGGAATATTATTGCTCCGATTCCATTGATGTGGAATGCAGATTAAAAATTACCCAGTTGCCAAAAACTGCATTGTGATGTCGCTATCTGAAATCAGGAACTTTTTTTACAAGTATCTAAGATCTGCTATAGACCAGTGAAAGTGCTTTAAGTTATTTTACCACTGTGAGTTTGGCATCTTAATTAAGTAAATGGACGCAACACTAAATTACTATTTGACCTAGCAAAATAATATGTCACTTGATAGTTGGAACACCTATCAGAATATGACAGATGGGGAAAAAAAGCACGAGAAACAGAAGCAATTTCAATTTGGAGAAAGGCAGAGTTCGGACCGATGAGTTTAGCTGGATTAGAAGCAGTTGGTGGAGTTACACTCAATTTTAGACCTGCATCCTGATTTGCTGGGTTTCTGTTTATTATTTTAAATGCAGGAGCTGAACAGGATGCACAGGTAAGAATATAAATTAATCACCAATTACCATGGGTCATAGGCTTATTTGGTAATACCATAGGTTTATTTAATCCAGCAGTTAATAGTGGCTTCATATATTACACACCTCACTGACAAGAATGTGTGTATCCACATATAACAACTCACTTTTCTAGTATTTGTACTTCCATGCTAATGTCCAGAACTCACAGAAAGAAATCATGCCTTTATCCAAAAGCTAGTTTATCTTTCCACATGAAATTCCTTTTAGATAAGCTTGCTAAACGTCTTTGTAATACCAAAACTTATCCATTCTCTGCAATTTTCAGGAATTCCACGAACCTTTAAAAGATTGCAGCAATTATGCAGCTTAAATATTTTTGAACGCTTCACTGGGACAGTTATCCCCCAGTACAGAAATCTGATCTCCTTTTTGCAAAGTTCCACGATGCTATGCAGTTTTCAACCAGGTTGCAATTTCATTCCTAGATGTAATTTTGCCGCTTAAATAGGATTTGGAAGTATGCTTCTTGAACAGCAGGTTTCCATATGTATCCACAATCCTTTTTTTTTTTTAAAAAGCAAAGGGAATCCTAAAGTTTATACTGGCAAAACAATACTGGCACTTGGATTTGAAAGACCACCATATAGAAGTGGGACAAACATTTGCTCTAGTCCTAGAGATAGGGTTAGATCTGATGAGCTACTTGATGACAATAATTTTTTGATGGCAAGAAGATTTTGAAAGTGAAACCAATTATCTTGATAGGAGTGGATTTTTCCCCACTGAAGATCTTCCAACTGGAGAGGAACTTAGGATAAAGCTTTGGCTTTATTAAGTCATTTTAGGAGCTTGATAATGGGGTCTTCAAAACCTTCTGCAATTGAACTAAACTATTAATTTACTCCCATGGATGTTTTTATTTGGTACAGTGGGGTTATATCAGAATTTGTGTTCTCGTAAGCAAGGTTGTGTGGAAGAACTGTGGTTTGCATAGAACAGGGGTAGGCAACCTGGACTCTTTTATGACTCCTGGACTTCAACTCCCAGAATTCCTGAGCCAGCATGGCTGGCTCAGGAATTCTGGGAGTTGAAGTCCACGAGTCATAAAAGAACCCAGGTTGCCTACCCCTGGCATAGAAGATAAGAAAAATCCTTAGAGTGTCAGTGCTGCTGCATCATTCCATTACAGATTGCTCTGTCAGGCGCCTTCCCTTTTACCTCTACTTGAAAATTATGAATGATATTATTAACACATTATCAACAACTTGTTTTTCATAGCATATTGACCGCTGTTCAAGAAAATACGTCCTCAAAAATCCCATTGGGCAAGTCTTATGCTGGATCACAGAAGAAAGAACTTTGCTAAATTTGAGGCTGGACAAGTGGGACCAATGGCAGCAACTTTAACCTTTGGCAGAAATAATGGTAAGGTAGCTTCTCCAGTGATGAAACACAATGCGTTAATTGAAAGAAATGTGTTCCTGGTGAACACCATAGATGTGGTTTAGGATAGGCTATGGCCTTACTCCAAAGGATGGGATTGGTTGCAGCGATCATGGCCAAAGGCTGTCATGAAAAGGTTCTGGCATCATCGGACTTTCTGAATAACCATATCTCTCCAGAGCAGATTTTCAACCTTGTGCCTTCCAAATGTACTTAGACTACAACTCCCAGACTTCTCAGCCAATAATTCAAAATATCCAGAGGACAGGAGGTTGGAAAAGACTCCAGAAAGACCCTGTGGCTGATGGTGGACGAATTAGGAGATAGGATTTGCACCCTTACCCTCCAAAAATAACCCATAACACTTACCCCTTCTGGAGATTTCCCCCTTATAGATGTGGGTGAAGCTGATGGCTCAAGAATCTCTTTTTCTGTCATACTGCACACACATACACACACAAAGAGAACAGATGCAAAGATAAAAGGCAAACATAGAAGAAAAGTCGGTGTTTTATCTGGTTGGGTCGTGATACTAGTTCAAAGTATATCTCCAATACTTTTGATATACTGGCAATAGCAGTCTATAATTCCTCACTGTGAGGAAATGGATGCTTAAATGTCAAACTTACAGGCCTGTTTGAAAATGCACATTGGATTTAAACCTAACTCAGGTTTATCCCCAGAATGCAATCTCAGCATCATCGCCTAACCATATACCTAAAAAACACACCTATAAAAATAGTTTTGAACACATGGAAGAATAGCTTTCATTCCAATAACTATTGCCCTCTTTTAACTGATACAATAAAGATGATACAGAATTCATCAGACCAAAAGGGAATTTAATAAGACGTCAAATCTATACAATCATGAGCATTTTGTTGCATCATTTTAAATGCAAATGGGAATGGGAAAACAAATTACCACTGCCTATGGACAATTACTGTCTTACTAATCTACGTAACATTTTCCTTTTGACAGCAGAGCAAAATGCCACCCCGGCTCAGTTTTATCCATTTTATTTTTCATTATTTCAAAAGCCTTTTCCCGATACCCACTTTTGAAGCTGAATGCAGAGTTAACTGGATCCACACATATTTAGCCTTCCAAATAACTTCTTCACTGCATCTATTATCTATTATCTTTAATAAAGCAGTCTGCCACAGTTCTATCCAAAATAAATGCCTTGTCTCTAATTATATGGAGAAGTTCTAAAGTATGAGCGATGTAGGTTTATGAATGGAGGGGAAATCTTACTCTATGATGAGTAATCAATACGGTATTCACAAATGATTAAGGAGATGCTCTATCTGTTCCAAGGTCATTTCCCAACTAGTGATTCATAATATTATCTAGAGTCAGTCTACCATCAACGTGCCAAAATAATAGCAGCAACAATAGGCTTTATATCATTTCATTGATAGATGACCTATTAAGATGCTATAAGTCGTTACTGGGGAAGAGAATTTCAGTTCTATTCCCTTTAGGATGAAGTGACATAATCATCTCTACTTAGCCCAGCAGTATTCACTCTGACTGGTTTTCTTGTCCACAGTAGGAAATGGTGGGGTGAACTAGAGATCCATTACATGCAGAATATCTGTTCTCTCCATAAGCTCCAGTTCCTCCTCTTTCATTGGAGAAATTAAACCATTTTTTGGAAAGGAAATATGTAAAAAAAAAGATTGAGATTGGTTGGAATATCTCTGGCAGCAAATATGACAGTATCTTGTTGAGCTTTAAGAAGTTTATGATGACATAAACTTTACTGCAACTACAGCCTACTTCATTTAATGCATGGAGGATTACCTTGAGATAGGAATATAAAGGTATCCATCTGGCTGCCTTTTTATGCATGACCAGCTGTTCCCCATATTAACTTATGGCTATGAGGTTGTTTTTTTTTTTTTTAAAGAGACTTGAGATACTGTCCTGAAACCCAATAGTTGATACCCAATTTAGCAGCTATCAGTTGGGAACCATTTTCATGGAAATGCTCGCCTCCCTGCCTGCTACGGTGCAGAGGGAAGTGAGGATATGACAATGAACGTTCTTTCCAGGCTCAGCTAGCAAATTAAGGAGAGAGAAAGCTAAATCTTTTTTTTTCCTTCATGCACTAACCAAATGTAAACTACCGAATGCTCCAAAAGCTTTGCTTTAGCCTCCAGAGCTTCTCTAAAATCTGGTACAAAATTTAAATTGCTAACAAGACAAAAGGGAAACATTATTAAAAGCATGAGGAGTTAACCATCGCAATGGTATTTAGCTAGCTATGGAAATTAAATCAAACTTAACTTTCCATCTTTGTATGGCCAAACACTAGAACTTTTTGGAGTCTAATCTCTGCCCAGCTTGCCACTCAAAGGCTAAGATATCCCTTGGCACGCCCCAAAAGGTCATATTTCTCTGCCAATCCTTTGTGTGCATGGAGTTGCAATGCTCGTCTCTAAAAGTCAGTTGCAGTTCTAAATCTTCAACCTAACTCTATTACTTGCAGAAAACAGGATCCAAACCAATCTAGTAAGGAGAGATGGGCAGTAAAATATTTTTGAAGCGAAAGGTTAGTTTTCAGAGCTTCTTGATTCTGATTTGTCGAGATAAGTGGTTTTACTCAAATGGAAAGGGGCAATTTATTCAAGCGGTATTTCTCAATTTTTTTTTTGCAAATTAGAGCAGCCCATTCAGGCTTTCAATCCTGCAAGCCCATTGTGAAAGGTTTGACTAATTCTGGCCAGTACTGCCTCCCCCAGAAGAGGAAAAACATGTCTTGCATGTATCTAGCAAGGAATGAAGAATTCATCTTTTCGATACTTTTAGAAAAACATGAAGGAAGGACCACAGCTTAGGTCAGTGGCTCCCAACCTTTTCTTTACCCCGCACCCCTAGAACGCTTCTGATATATTCTCGCACCCCTTACACAAGTTCAAAATAATGGCAATGAATTATGCATATACACCATCATTTTGAAAACCCAAGTTTTTGCACCCCCTGGAATATTGTCTCGCACCCCCAGTTGGGAACCCCTGGCTTAAAGTATTGCTGGAAAGATAGCCGGCAGTCTTCTTTTCTATATCAAAGTGCTGGAAGCCAACAACATCCAGAAGCTCCATCTGATGAATTATTTGGCTGGGAATGATGGAAATTGCAGTCCCAACATATTTGGAATGTGCCAGGTTAGAGAAAAAACTGTCCTAGGCACATAGTAGTAGTGACAGGAAAATCTCCTTGGCATACAATCTGTTTTTTCCCCACACTCACTTTACACAGTGTACAAAGACACAGGAGGAAAAAAGCACTTATAGACTGGGCATTAGCTGTGGGTAAATAGCACCAAGGTTAGGTTTTAGCTTAAAACCCATTAGAAATAAGTGGAAACCAACTATAAAACTGAATGTACATTATTCAATCAAAGTAAATGTTATATTCAAATTAGACATGGTCCTTGTCAAAACTGATTGAAGCCTGGCTTCTAAAAATGACTGAAATTGGGACTGCTTTCAGGCTGAATCAGTCTTTCGAAAATCCATCACCATCTATCCTCTTTGCAAATAGGGTGTTTTGTTCCAAGCAAGGAACAACCTCAGAGCATTATTTTTTCATTCTACTATAGCTCAGGAGAAAAGTAAATGCAATCATTTCCTTTCACAGGATTTAGAGCAAATATTAGTTCTATGTTGTGTTATCATACGGTGTTTGCCTTCCACTGCTAACTACAGGATGGGAAAAAGCAAAATACTATTTAGAGAATTGGCTCGCTCTCTCTTTTTTCCCCCCTAGGAAGGATGTATTTTCAGCCAATCTCTCAGGTTGTACATAGACCCCCTAATTACCACTTATCTAGGAACTTTGCCAGTTAGTACAGATTAGTTATCACTGATTAATTATTCAGAGGTGCTACTGTAAGTTCAGCTGGTAAAATGGCAGACTACGGCATGGATGAAAAAGAGATGACAATTCAAGTTACACACTGCGAATACACGCCTATTTTTAAAATCCATTCTAAAGAGCGTTTTCTTACTAACCGCAAGAATCATAACACAAAAGACACACTTATGTTATAGATTTATGGTGGAAATAAGTGCCATGGCTCCTCTTGCTAAGAATCTTAGGAACTGTAGTTTGATTAGATTCCTGAGAAAGCATGACTGCTAAAACACCCTTAAATCTATAATGAAATCTCCACAAAGGGACTTCCAGGATGGAGTTTATGGGATCAAGTACGGCAGCCAAAATTCAAAGATAGAGCTCTTTTATTTCCCTGCCCTACTGCTCTTCCTAAAGGCAAGTATGGAAAGGAGCAATTCATTATGATTAAAGAAAATCAAAGGAAATATCAATTCTTGGAAAGCAGTTATATCTCATACCAGACCAGAAATACGTTATTCTGCAGTTAGTGCCTGGTAAAAATCAGATTAGATACAGCACTGAAGGGGTAGAAGCTAACTGTTTCTTGCATATCAGCTAGGAATCTCTGTGTCTCATTTCTAGGCAATTAGAGACATATTTATTTATTTATTATTCCAATCTATTTTGATTACCCAGGAAAAAAGGAAAAGGCAATTTGTACGCACTCAGAGGTTATCTACCCTTAGTATTCCTGTAGGCCATGATTGTCCGACCTTTTGGCTTGCCCAGGCTGCATTGAATAAAGAAGAATTGTCTTGGGCCAAATCTATATAAATAAAAATGTAAATGTTCGTTTGTTCAAAATCTTAAATCTCCGAAAGTTCTTCACTGATTGCTTTGAAATTTTGACACAACGTTGCATTCGAATACGCGTGTGTTTTTATATACCTACTATTATATAGATGTCACACCTGTGACAGGTAAAACATGCTTTTTTTGAAAAACAGCGCCATCTGTTGGACGTAAAAGCAACACACGCTAGCATTGTGAAATTAAACATATTACAAACGTGCGCTTTCTCTTTTCTTTCTTTTTCATTTAACCAGACTGAGCCATAGCAATGCGTGGCTGGGTACAGCTAGTATAAAATATAGAATAGAATTAAGGTATATAAATAACAAACTTCCTTTATTTTTTTTAATAATTTTTATTATCTTCTGGGGCCACATTACGAACTGTCCAGGGCCACATGCAGCCATGGGACACAGGCTGAATTTAGGCGTCACACATCTGGCTTGAAATATCTTAATTAATACTAAGGGCAAATACCACAGAATTCCCTTCCCCCCGCCCTGCCCTCTGGAAATACATCCGGTCATCTACTTTCCCCCCATATCCCAAAGGGCTATTGCTTATCAGTACCAGGAGGGAGCCCCCATTATCAAACAAGGAGGGGGTGGGAAATGCCATTTTTTCCCCTTTCCTCTGATCCTCACATTATCACCTCAACTTTTATGACAAGATTAGGGAGTGGCCATTCCCAAGCCCAGCTCATACCTGCCATCAGCCATGTTAGTTCAGCTACTCAGTGGGAAAACATTGGGGCTTTCCAATGCATCTCTATATCTCCAAAATTTCTGATTGCTCCCAAAATGGACAGAAAGCCCTCTGCAATGGCCTTGGCAGCCCAGGCCTTCCCCCAATACCTACGGCTTTTGTCATGTTTTGCTGAACATCCACTCAGACATTGCCATGAGTTCCAATCCAGGGCTGTATGGAGAATGAACCTGCCTCCAGCACTGACGGTCCAAATTCTGCTCAAAGTTTAGCTTCTCCCCTTTCCATTCTGGACCTGTGGCGTCCCCCGCAGTAAATCATTGCTCACATTTCAAGCTAGGAAGTAGACCCTTTTATCTTGCCTCCTGGAAGCTGCAAAGGGCCACAGATTGAAACCTCAATCCCATTCCTTCTCAGAATGAGATTTGTTGAGCTGGTAACAGGTGCCAAACTCTTCGCTGCAGAACTGAAACATCCGGAAAAAACAAGTCTGGCAAAAATGAAGTGTTAGGCCAGAAGCTCAAATTACAAGTTACAGTATACAAGGACTCCCACAATATTCCCTGGTTTACAGGCAGTCATAAAACACCATGCTTCTGTTGTGATACCAACCCCTCTCCAGATCCTCTAGAATTCAGCCATTTTTGACCTCCATAAATTGGACAGATACACATACAAATACATGTCTCAAATACAGAAAGCTTAAAGGAGGAGAAACAACAAGCCACATTTTCACAGATGACGCTTTACTCTTTAGCTTTGCAATTCTCAGAATAACAGAAAATTAACTTTGTATCCCTGGGGGGGGGGAAAGAATAACTTATAAAGAATGAAACTAGAAAGGTGGTGGTGGGGGGGAGAAATACTTACTTTCTAAAAGAAAGGAGGTACTCCTGTTAATGGTATCTTTCCCAAACTGTCCCAAACTCCGCTCTCTTCTCTTCTCCCCAACAGATCTTTTACAGATCTGCCAAAGATAAATTCAATTTTCCTTTTGGGGCTCAAGATGTAAACGCTTCGGTTGTTCCCAGCCGCAGTGACAGGGCAAGAAAGGAACGAACAGCTGCCCTCCATAGGCAGGCTGACACAGAGAAATCTGAGCCTGAATTTGGATATGAGTTGCTGGCCAAAAAAAGGGCCAAAGGAGGTGATAGCCGATCAGATCCGCCCAGCCCTTGGAAGACCTGGAAGGGCTGAGAATTGCTCCAAAATGGCCCGGAGACGGGTTGCGTTGCCCAAGAGGAGAAAAAAATTCTGACTGTTTAGTCCTGCAAAAGTTTGCACTCCTCAGGATGTCTCAAGTTGAGACTTCTCATCGGTGTAAGTTGCTTGCTGAAAGTTAGATAAAACATGGGCTTGATTTTTCATCTCCCCCTCTCTGGACTGCAGATTTTTTCATACAAGCACCTAGTACAGCGGTTCTCAACCTATGGGTCACGACCCCATTTGGGGCCGATCGACCATTTCACGGGGGTCGCCAAGCAAGGCTGTCCGCCATTTTTTTCCCCTTTTCCGGCGGGTGCCTTACCTCCCTTGGGCTGGGCCAGCTGGTGGTCGGCCTGCTCCGTCTCTGCCGCTTGCCAGCTACGCCTTGGCCGGCGCAGGGGGCGGAACCACGCATGCGCGGCGCTCCCGGGCAGGGAAAGTCCTCGACTTACGACTGGTTGGGTAGTCCTCGACTTACGACCGGTTTAGTCCTCGACTTACGACCGGTTGGGGGTCACGGCATTAAAAAGGTTGAGAACCACTGACCTAGTAGCAACATTATAACATTATAAAACCCACCCCACCCCTCACCCCCACTTCCCATATCTTCTGAACTGCCCGTTTCCAAACTGGAAATAAAACCTCTTTCTTTTTTTTCTTTTCTTTTTTGGCCAAATTGCCTCTTTAGAAGTTGGATCCAAGGTATGACAGCAGAAATCCCAGCTTCTCTTGAACAGCAAGATGATTTGGTTAGCCAATGCAGTTTCACGGTTAAGTGATCGACTGGCCGAGAGGAGAGCTGGGTTCTAGTCCACCCTTGGCCATCAAAGCTCATTGGGTGATTTTTGGCCAGTTATTCAGCCTTCACCTACCTCCCAGGATGCTTGTTGCAAGGGAAATGGAAATGGAAGGAAGTAGTGCTTCCATTGTTTATCCAGTGGATAAACAATAAATAAATAAAATTACAGTCAAGCTCCTTTACAGGGTTGTTGTTAGAAGAGAAAGCACTAAATACACCCCTTTGAGCTGAATAAAAGGTAGAATATAAATCGAATAAATCAATAAATAAAAAAAACCAGAGGACTGAGGCACAATTTTTCTCCAACAAACTTGACCTATTGTACATGCCTGCCATTTCAAGTTATATTCAAATCTCAGAAAATGAATGGTGTCCATAAGAAGCTTATAGCAGAAAAAGTAGTTATTCGCTTAGAGATGGACTAGCAGTCGTTGCAGCTGAAATCAAATAAATCTGGAAAGTCCTAGCCTGAAGCAAGGAACTGAATGTATCTGGCCTCTCAGTGGGTTCATTAATGTAACACATCAAGACTAAAGCTTATTATTTTGTAAAGCACCACACAGATTGCTCTTTACAGCACAAATGGGAGATTTAATACAATAATGGGGCGATGCTGCAGTTTGCCTCTTTTTTTGCCATTTGGACAATGGTTAATTCTGCTTTGCCAATTCCAGGATTCACACTAGTTTCAGTGAATTTCCAAACTCATAATGCTAGGAAATAGTTGGGAGTGCCAGTGAATTTTTTTCTTCTGGTCACTAAAAAATGGACCTAACAAGGAACAAAAACTTGTTTCCCCAAAAGCCACCTAGCTGGAAGCTGAGGCTTAAGACTTTTTCCTGTTACTTTATTTGCATGCCGCTCAGAGTCACTTTCATGAAATCAGTGGCTATGTACCTTGTGTAAACAAGCAAGCAACCATTTCTTGTTGGTACTGTTAATGTGGAGTGTTTTTCCACCCCTGCAATTAGTTGCGAGTCTCTTTCTGAAGGATCCTTGTTCTGATTCTGGCTGGATTGTTTATATAGGCTTTGGTTGGCTCTTCTGCCCTCCTTTTGGTCTCCCTTTTTTGTCTGCTTCCTGGGGTATCTCATTCTTCTGCACCAGCCTTCCTCAACGTAGGCAAGGATCTTGGCCATTGGAGAGTTTTTGCCACGGATACTGCCCACAGTTGGTCCGGCTGCCAGTAAATCAGTGCTCTGTTCTACTTGTCTCCTGACGACTTCACTATATGAATTCTTCTCTTGACAATAGAATGGAATGGAATAGAAATATTTTTTATTGGCTAAGTGTGAATGAACGCACAAGGAATTTGTCTACGGTGCATAAGCTTTCCGTATACATACAGCAAAAAAATGATAAATCATAAAATACAACCAACAAAGTGACAGTCATAAGATACCAATAGGAGTAGGTAATAGGAAAGATGAGAAGAATAGTAATAGTCTGCTACATGGTTAAATATCTTCTGGCATAGACAGTTGTGTGGGAATTATGTGTTTAGCAGAGTGAAGGCACAGGGGGGAAAAACTGTGTCTAGTTGTTTTGGCATGCAATGCTCTGTAGCAATATCCTGAGGGGAGAATTTAAAACAGTTTATATCTAGTATTTGAGGGGTCATCCCTCTGCAGTATTCAGGTCCTCAGTGGAGGCAGGCTGGTTGCAATTGTTTTTTTCTGCAGAACTATCTATCCGTTGAAATCTGTGCCTGTCCCGTTTGGTTGCTGTACCAAACCAGTTATAGATGTACACATGACAGACTCAATAATTCCTCTGTAAAACTGTATCAGCAGATCTTTGGACAGTTTTGAGTTTTCTGAGTTGATGCAGGAAGAACATCCTTTGTTATGCCTTTTTAATGATGGTTCTAATATTATTTATTTTATTTAAAATATGTATACAGCTGCCCATCTTCTAACCAACTCTGGGCAACTTCCAATCAGAAGTTATATAACATATAACACCATATTATAAAACTAAACACATTACAGCATTAAAAGAAAAAAGAAAGACTTAGTGCTAAGTCAAACTTCTAATGTGCAATTATTCAATCTTATCCCAATGCTTGGGGGAAAAGCCAGATCTTCAAGACTTGCTAGTGAGGGTAGAAAGCTTTCAAATTTCAGGGGAGAGAGTGTTCCACAGGGCAGGAGCTGCTATGGAAAAGGCATGTTTCCCACTCTTATCAGATGTTATAATACTGCTTCTTAACTCTGTTAACAGTTCTCTGAAATTCTTTGTGGTCCTTCCTGAGATGTTTCTGTCTCGTCTTTTGATTTCTCCAATTGATAACTTCCACCAATTTTTCTGACATCCTGTTTGCTTTCTTTCATTTCTTGGTCTTCGGCAGTCTTTTTTCACATTCGTCCTTTTTTTATTTCATTCCACAGTTCCTCTGGTTCCTTTCAATTAGGCTTAAGACATTAAAGGAATTCCTGATGTTCTTGAAAATGGTAGGTATAAGCTCAAGATCATGTAGTGGAAACTGGGAGGCTTTTTCCTTCCTCCTTTACTTAGCTTGGAACTTGCAATGAACACTTTGTCATTTGCTCCAGTGTCGGCCTCTGACCACATATATGCTGCTATAACAGAAGGAAGGAACTTCTACCTCTTGTACCAATAATTTAATCAATCTGATTTCTGTGTACCTTCTGATGGTGTCCATGTACGTGGGCATCATTTGGGTTGTTGGAAGACTATGTTGGCAATGAAGAAATTCACTGGACTGACAGACATTGATAAGCCGTTTTGCTTCATTTTGGTTACCTAAGCCATACAATCCAACTACATCTTCTTCCTTAATAGTTCCAGTTTTGGCATTCCAATCTCCACAAGCAGCACATTTTGCTTGCAGCTTCCGTTGATTTCAGAGCAAACTTAATTATAACCTTCTTCAACTTCCTCTTCTTCTGCATCAGTGGTTAGATCATAAAGTTGAATAATCATTCTGTTAAAAGGATGTCTATGAAGTCTTTATTAGGTCATTGACTGTATTTTGCCCAAACACTGTCCTTGCTAGCTCTTTCTTTTGAATACAACACTGCTATGATGTCTGAGTAATAAACGGCATCAAAATTGATACAAACATGAACATCCAACAACTGAAAGTTGTGCTTGAGAGTGGCATGGAGACTGCTTGACTATAAAGTCACCAAGAGTTGGACACGACTGGTTAAAACAACAATAAACAGCATAACCCTCACTGAATGTCCAATTTCAGTCCTTTTTGATTTGCTGATGCCTAAGATGTCAACATGTGGTGACCCTATTAATCTTTCATTGTGATGAGTTTTCCCATTCTTATTTCTGACATTTCATGTTTCTGTGATTCTGTCTTTGCAGCTTCAGATGTTCTTTCCCTGAATAACATCAGCAAATGGTGGCCCCAAGGCCATTAATTAAGCCATGTCATATACATCTTTAGTATCAGAAACATCCTTAGCTGTTCTTCAATAGCATTTTGAGTGTCATCCAACCTGGTGAACCCATCATCTGGCACATTGTTATTCATTTTAATTTTGTGTTATATGTGGTTTTCTTGGTAAAATAGAGATTCATAGTGCTTACTCCCAAGCACTAGGAAATTATGCCCTTGGTGTCAGTAAAATAATCATTCATCTCCATTTCCAGCATGTTCTGATATTGCTGCTGCAATGTCAATGTGCTGAGATGTAGGTGCCTTGCTTTTAGTTGAGCAGGTGAGATGATCTTCAGATCTTGGGTGACTCTAATGGATATATATGTAGTTGACATCTACCTTCAGCATTCTTCCTTCCCTATTCTCTCTGATGAACACACCTTCCATGATGAAGTAGCACAGCAGACTTGAGGGAGCCACCTTAATGAATTCACTAATAACCAAGTGAAGGAAATTCCTCATGCACTAAGAGTCTGAATTGTGCTGGTATTTACTAGTATACATCTAAAATTGGTGTAATACTTACCTTTCTTGATTTTGCCCACCTGTATGGGATTTGATATTACTTTTGAGGACATGTACATTCTGAGTGCGCTGTAAATTACAAC